CCTGTGTTTGTTCCCCAGTCTCGTTTGTCCAAGTCACGAAGCGAACTCTCCGCGAGCTGCGGATTCTCCGGCACCTGCAGCACGAGAATCTGATCGATGTGAGGAGCTTCAGTTCCGAGGTCTAGGGGCAGGTTCTTGTGGCCCTTCTTGGTGCATGCAGGAACATTTTCCTGGCCGGATCAAAGGATGACTTCGAGGCTCCAGAAATGCACGCCGGAATGTTCCGCAAATACTGCTAACTGATGGATAGCTTCCTTGGAGCGAGAGCATTACAGGACATCTACGTGATCTCGGAGCTCATGGAAACCGTTCCAGCCTTAACCAGAGATGCTTGTCATTTGTTCACGCTCTTCTTGCAGGCATCTCTCTCCCTCTCTCTGTGGCCGCATGTTTTGTTGTTTTGTTTTTTGGTGTTGCTATTTGCCTGCTTCCTCGTTTGCTTGCTTGCTTGCTATGCTTGCTTGCTTTTTCGTGAGTTTGTTGTTTGCTTTGTTTTGTTACACTTGTGTCTGTTTGCTCAGTGCGAATGCATGTACCGTTTTTCGGGGTGTGGGCATGGAGCTGTATTTGGCGCTTGCAGCCTCGACGAAGGATTAGTTGTGGGGTCCGGTTGGTTCCGGCTTTGGTCCACGGTCAGGCGGTTGCGGATTGGTGGCATGCATGTGCCAAACGCACCAGCAACTGTCAGAAATCCGATCCCATTCAGTGTGCCGTGGACCCATTAAGGGAGACAGTGGCAGCAGTTGATCTGTCCACCCTCGATCGCCCCCCTTGGGTTGTAAGGACTTGGCATCGATACTGAAGTCGACACAGCCACTGACTGTCACTGGGCTCAACTTGAGTGCCAGGTATTGCTTGCTTCGGAATCATTGCCATACTCGGCAGGATGATCATTGCCAGTTCTTCCTCTACCAGATCCTGCGCGGGATGAAGTATGTTCATTCTGCACAGGCCAGGTTGTTTGTGCCGTCCCTCTTCGGGATCGCAGGTGGGAGCGCATGAGATGTGAGTTTGACTTAGGTCATTCACAGAGATCTCAAGCAGGGGTCTCGGTCGGGAGTTCCATGGTTCTTGCTTAAGGCTTAACATTTGCCAGTTGAAAACGGATCGGTTTGCGAGGCCGCGAAACTTGCTAGTCAACGGCAATTGTTCCTTGGTCTCAAGACGCCATGGGCTGTGTCAACCAAAACCTTGCACTGCACGCGTGGCAGGTGACCTGAAGATCTGTGACTTCGGCCTGGCGAGAGTGAGTTTCTCGAAGGAGATACCTGACTTGGCATACAATCTGACGAAAGTTCCCCATACTGTTCAGGAGTTTCAGACCTGTCCGATGACAGAATACGTTGCATTCTGAGATGATTTGCTCAAACCGCCGCATACTAGGAACTTGCCATAACTGGACATGTGTCCTTGGCTGCACCCAGGTTTGTACGCGTTGGTATCGGGCTCCAGAGGCATGACCTGCAGTTGGCAAACTGAGTGTCAGCTGATGTTACTCAGTCTCCAGACACCCGGCAGACAAATTTCGGTGTTCCGCCCTGCCTATCGCACAGCTGCATTGGCTGCACTATGCAGAAGGGATTGTGCCTGGAAGGTCTTATGTTCCTGGGTGGACTACACCACCGCAATTGACATCTGGCTTCTTGGGCTTTGATGTAACAGTGCGGTGGAGGAGCTGTTTTGACAACTTGCATTTGCCTTGGCTTGCATGCAGACATTGCTTGCGATTGGTCTCGGAACTCTGCGAAATCTGAAATCAGGTCAATTGGCTGCATCTTTGCCGAGGCTGGGGCTAGTCACGGTTTGGTTTGGATGCGAGGAAAGCCTCAAAGGAAGTGTCTCACGAGAGGCGGGAGTGCGTGAGACGCAGTGGATGAGAGAGACATAGACTAGGATGTGGCGAGACCGAGAGTCCCAGAGTGTGCGCTCAATTGAGCGGCCCGCCTGCAGAGAGAGTCCAGATCTCAGAGCTGGCTTCGATCTCTCTGCAATGCGAGATGCTGGAACGCAAGCCTCTGTTCCCGGGGCACAACACCCAGCACCAGCTACAGGCTCGATCGTGAAGAGTTGTCGGCTTGAAATCAAGAAGTCCGTTTGCGCCCGCCAGTCCATCATCTCCTTCCTTGGGAAGCCCAGTGCTGAGGCGGGGCAGACTTCCAGAGCTGTTTTGTACGTCACATGCGAACTGATGTGTGACATGGCGGGGGGATCTGTGGGATGATCGGAAGAAGCAAATCACCTTCGCTTCCACACGTTGTGCATTCTGAAGGAGCTCAACAAGATCAAGAACGAGAAGTGCAGGCGGCTTTTAACGCTGGGTTCGAGCGCTCGAACGACGTTGGGCTGTCAGGGTTGGTGCAGCAGTACTGTAGGAACAGGTGTGAGGCTCCTCCATAAGTGCAGGCGCTTCATTGAGTCCCTACCGGCCACAACCGCCTCTTGGCCATTTTCAGACACGTACGACTCCTCGACTCTAGTTTCAGCTTCAAGAAGCTATGCAGCTCTGCACCATGGCCGGGTGGCACTGCCACTAAGGCGCAGAGCTTGCAGGAGGTCTTCCCGAATGCCGAGGACTCAGACGGACTGAGACGCCACTTACAGGAATGGTCACAAGTAGCTCCAGCATCGCACCGCTCTGACGCTGTGGCAATGAGGCCAACCCCAGTGCCATGGAGTTCCTCAGTGCGACCCTGCGCTTCGACCCGGAGCAGCGGGTGGCCGTCACCGAGGCGCTGTGTACGTGCTCGGTTGTGGAAGTCGTCGCACTGCGTGGTGGAATTCGCTGTTGTTTTTGTTCTGGACAAAAAGAAAGAAGCATGTTAGTGCCAGCTTCAGCAGCATCTTAGATGCACTGAAAGTTTGTACCTCTGGGTGTTTCCCGCTCTCGCTCCGTCTGTGTGAGCGACACCCTTCCTTTCAAACTTCGCATCTGCTTGCGAATACCATCCGACATGATGTGACGATTTTTGCCGTGTTGTCGCTGTGCTGCCGCATGCTCCTCCGCATACGGAGGCACTTACGCTATCTTACGTCTCGCAGCTGTACTGCCCGGAGGCGGGTGGGCGGGGGGTCGAGAGGGAGAGTCTCTGCGGTGCGGGCTGCACCTCTCTGAGGACGAGCCCGTTCGAGGGCCCCTCGACACCTCGGACTTCGAGTTCGAGCGACGGAAGATAAACATCAAGGCACTCCGCGAGGAGGGGAGAACAGAGAAGTAAAGTACTCAGAGACTCTGGCATGTACGGTGACTGATTCAGGAGCTGTGGTTAGAGGTTTTGTGCCTCGGCTTGAGAGCTTTATGGTGTGTTGTGGCTGAAACAGAAGACGAGCAGATGTAGGCGGAGGAAGCTGTGCCAAGCCATGTGCGAATGTCGGTTTAGTACAGACTTGATCTGGACAAGAAACTTTCAGCTCGGTCTGACGGGTTTGACATCGATTCTGGGCTTGATCAGCTCCACCACAATTTCTCTCCTTCTCTCGCCTCGCCTTGCATCGTTGTCGCCTCGTGAAGCCAGCACAACAAGCATAAGACTAAGCAGAAACCCTCCATGCAAGAGCTGAGGCACTACTACCCGGACCAGCCGGGGACTTAGCTAGCGTAGGATTTCTATTCGCTTGTGCGGCGGATGCGAGTCCCTTCCTGCTTCCGCTTTACTTTAACTGGGCCTTTGTCCATCGGGTATTCACGGAAGATTTTGTTTCGAATTGCCAGGAGATCTGCTGAGATGATCTTATGCTGCAGTTGCGAGGACATTCTGGAACGACAGTCTGCCTGAGGCGGGAGCGCTACCTGGATCAGCAACTGCAGATGGGAGAAGAGTGCCCCAGGGCCATTGGGCAGGGTTCTTCAGGGCGGTGCCAGGTCGGACCATCGTACCCTTGGCCTGGCACCCTGAGACGAGGTACAACGTTTCCTCCTATCGGCTGCTTGCTCCTGGCGAGTGGTGGCCCGAGATCTTCAGATTTTTGTTAGCTCTACTGAGTTCTTGGCAAAGGCCCCAATACTCTTCAGACGAGGAGGAGGCAGGATCAGAGGGAGCAGGAAGGAGACGCCCTTTCAGCTTTCACTTTTGTCCAGGAGCAAGCACCTCAATAGCCTGGTGTTGCAAGGACGCTGTGTTTTGCCTTGAAAGGGGTTGAAAGCCTCGTGCCAGCATTGGACGTGACGGTACATGTGCAGTAAATGACGGCATGGGCGGCTGTTGCGAGGAGGTCTAGTGGCAGATGTGGCAGCAGGCAGCATGGGATCGTTTGGCCAAGGTATGTACGTGCATGAAGGCGGAGTTTCGCAACTTTGCCACAAACCCTGCCAGGTCATCGCCAAATGATCTCAGTTGAGCGTTTCACCAGGCTACTGCTGCTCGGCCCGGCATTCAAAGTGGCATTGGGTTGATGACCCCTATGTAATTGAAGCAGTTCTTGGAGCCCACACTCAATCTTGGACACCGTCGAGCCGCATAGAAAGCTGAGCTTCGTGCCGTCCATCAGTTGCGCCACAGGGCGCAGGGGGCTACCTGCGTGTTTTGATATTACGCTAACCGCTAACGTCTTGTTCTTACCGAGCTTCAGGATTGCCGGGAGCCTTTTGTGTGCCGCAAGGAAAGCATGATCGGGCCGCAGCTTCCGATTGGACTTTCGACATGCAGGTTGTGGTCTCATGCTCGGCCTGGAGGCAGCGTCGGTCTGTAGTCAATATGCCCCTATCGCCGTAGCGTCGCGCAAGTCCCCGGTCAAGCGCAGCCTGGCACTCTTGAAAGAGTTAGCCAAGAGGAGTGAAAAGATCTTCTGACGGAAGATTGCGTCGATTGCAGTGAGCCTCTCCACCCTGCTTTGAAGACACCTCTGGTGCCCTATCGCAGCTCTCCGACGTCTCCTGCCGGAACATAGTTCCTCTAAGCCCTGACCGTCGTACCCTCTTGATGCTCCAGAGTTCCGACTTCCCCACCTCGACACCCAATCATCACCGCCGCTAACTCTGGGGGGATTCCCAGCCTCTGGCCGCCATGGCCATGGCTCGCCGAGCAGCGGATGGATCTCAACCAGGCGGGACGGAAGCAGGGGATTCTCTTCACCTCCACTGCTTTCGGGGTGGTCATCGTCGCACCCGTTTGAGTGTTTGTGAGCAGTTGCGGTGGGTTGTTCACACAAACAAAACTTGAGCTTCTCAATTTGGACAGAACATCTTCGGCTCAGGCCTGTGGTCAGATTTGACATGCTTGGATGCTGCGCAGTTTGGATGATTGCACTGCTTCAGGCCTTCGACTGGGAAGAACTCGAGAAAGTCGAGGTACAGGGAAACTAAAGAGTCAAGGGGAGGTGCAGCAGAAGCTGTGCAGGCGCTCAGCGAGGAGCCGAAAGAAAAAGACTCGGCGCTTCGCGGTGGCCTGCGGCTGGCGCGGCCAAACTGGAGCCAAAGCGAGCTTTTGGGACTGCGAGTTGGCAGTTGGAGATTTTGGCACGCAACGTGTGTTGGAGACTTCGGATGACGGGCTGCTGATGTTTCGGCTCGCTTGGCCCCCGAGGCTTCTGGCCGCAGAGCGCAAGCTCGCTGGAGTTGGTATCCGAAATGCCAAAGCCTTGAGGGCTGCCCTGGAAGAGGCGGCCGCGAGCTCAGACACCAGCTGTGTTCTTGGTCAATTCACCAGAGTTCCGCGTGCAGGTATTCACATAACATACATGTGACATGTGTATACATGTATGTATGTATGTATGTATGTGTATACATATATACATTATATACACGCGTTACATAGGGTATGTTTGGTTTTGTACGAAGAACGCAATACAACATACTATACTGTAATCGAATAGAACGGAACATATTACACTAGCTTGCTTTTCATGAAAAAGATGTTCTAAAATGAGAGCATGTAGCACCATACAACAGAGCATGTAGTAAGGTTATACGTTGGCAATACATAGCGGAAAGCAATATAGCAACAACCATAGTAAACGTTATTACATGACACGATATAATACTGTACTCAATACTGAGACACTGAGGTATACTGTCATATAATCTAGTGAACTATACTTTAAATATAAGCCTGTAAATGTATGTACGCATACATTATGTGCACATATGTCTATGTATATAGCATGTGTAATTATGTATATATATATATACACACATATTTATGTATGCATGTATGTGTGCGTATATATATATATGTATATGTTTCGTATAGGCACATACACGGTCACACATTAGAAGGGGCAGTCACCCTGTAATAGTGACTATAAGGATTATATTCGGGCCCTATTATATTCCTATTATACCACTATTACAGGGTGGGGGCCCCTTCTAAGTCATACACGTAAACATAGACATTACTTTACAAATTGAATCGATCTCTACATACTCGCTTACGCTTGAATTTAAGCACAAAAAGAACCATGCTGCACTATACTGTAATGTAGAATCTTGTAGTACTTAAGAAGCATAAGATATCATAAGCGAATGCAATACAATATAATTATAGCATAATGCTTATTCTGCGTTAAAATGTGGTAGTATACAGTACGGCAAAAACATAGTAATACAATGTAAGAAAATACGGACAGACGTAATATGCCACAATGCTACAACTAATGTACCACACTGCACTATATGCTTTATTTTGTTGCCATATATATATGTATATGATGTTATAAGTTATGGTATGATATTATATACTTTGCGAAATCGTATTTCAATGTAATATTTCATGATAGAAAAATATTATACAACACTTGTTTTTGTAAGCTGATTTCATCGCATATGTTGCATTATATACAGTATTCGTAGGTACATAGCAAGCAAGCCAGAGGAACAGAAGTGTAGTGAAGTGAGGTCAAGTGGGGTGGAGTGGCGAGATAGAGGAAGTAATCGCCGAGCTCATGACTTTGCTGCCATGCATGTTTCTCGAAGCACGTATATTTAGCTGTAGATGTGTACCCGTACTATATGTGTATGTGTTTATATGTTGTACAGGTTTCAGCTTTCACAGTCTCTTAATAATCTATCTTCGTTTGTCTATCCGTTTCCCTTTCGTTATGTTCACATGTGTGTATGCATGTGAACCTGAAACATCGCATGGGATATTGACAGTTCAGAACCTTTGAAGCAGTGAAGAGGCGTCACTGGAAGTCCCGCGGATAAACCACTTGCTTCAGCGAGCAGGATTTCGAGCGTTTCTGGCCAGCAACGAGCCTGAAGTGCAGATGAGTTTTGAAGTTCCTTCCACTTGGCGACCTTGTGTTGCAATGGCTCATAGCAGCCAGTTACTCTATTAGTGGTTGACCTGGTTGACGCCATTTCTTCATTGAGGCGTGTGCTGTGGCAGAAGCTCAGGTTCAGCGCTGACGCCGTCGCTGCATTGAGATGCTCGTCTTAAACCTGCTCTGACCATGTTTGTTGGCGGCCCCCGTGCCCGTCTGCTCTGACTTCTGCTTGTGCTCGTTGATTTACTAGGTTTAGGTGTTGTTCAGGTTATTGTTCGTGCAAGTGCGTAGTTTGCTGCACACGGCTGCGCACAGGCCATGCGGACAACGCAGACCAGACTTTGCATATGGACGTAGTTGTCGTGTAGTGCACGTGTGCACGGAGTGACATGTACGAGCGGCAACAGCAGACAACCGCAGCTGTTGCCCGCTCGAGGTTCTTTCAAGCTTTTCAGCTAGTCGTCGCTCGCTCGCCCGCGAAGCCATGTCCTCGACTTCTCCGGCTACCAGTTCGGATGCAGCTGGAGCTGCCGGCAGCGCAGCGACGACGTTGGAGGCTTTTCGCAACGCGATGGGCGTGTTCGAAGCCTTGCCTCGCCTCGCAGACGACGACATCCGTGTCCTGCTTCGCTCGCTGGGATCGGTTCGGATCCGCCGAGTGTTGGGCATCGGCCATGAGGTTCTCATGGGTACCGACGCTCACTATGCAGCGCGGATAGCAGCGCGGGATGCGACGCTGCAGCTGGCGGAGCAGTCGCTGTTGGCCAAAGGCGCTTCGCCTGCAACAATGCCGGGGCCTCTGTTGAAGAGCCAGGCCAAAGCTGGCGCGGGAAAAGGCGCCCCGCTCGTCAAGGCTATGCCGGCTAAGCCTTCGAGTACCAGCCCGCCGCCGACCGCATCGCCGTCCTCACCTCCGCCAGCGACAGGGACGGCGCAGCCACGGGTCAAAGCTCCGACGCCTACCAAGGGCACGTCGACTACCACAACACCGAGCACTACGACGCCCGCCTCGCCGGCCAGAACAAAAGGCTCCGAGCAAGGACCCCGCTCCGCCCGCGTCGCCGGCCAAAGCCGCGAGCACAGACCCGGTGGCCAAGGCGTTGCAGAAGCGGCCGCCCACACGACCAAGTACCTACGACACGACCCTGGCCGCGGTCTTCACCGAACCCTACGTGGACACAGTGCCGCAGGACCTCGAGCTCATGGCAGCGCACCCGACCCCGGCAGTCGAGTCCGCCCCGCCGTTGCCACCGCCACGCTCGCCTCCAGCCGACCTGTTCTTCGACGCGCTGGTGCCCGACTTGGAGGACTTCGTACAAGCGGCTGCCTCGCAGCCCGTACCTACCTCCGAGGACGAGGACGCCACGCATGAGGACGAGGAGGACGAGGGCGACCAAGGTGGCCAGGACGACGGAGACGACGCGCCCGGGGACGATGACGACGACCAGCCCCGAGTGATAGAAAGGCGGGTCCTCTGCGTGTCGCCCGCAGGACAAGAGCCAGCACAGGGCTCCACCAGCGCGACCGCTGCCAGCTCCAGTGATGTGGGGCCAGACGCCGCGGAGACAACAGCCAGGCCGAGCGAGCCGGCGCCGGTCCCCGACCCGCCGATCGCTCCGAGCTCGTTCCCTTCGCCGGCAGATGTCTCCCGCGACGCCGCCCGCATCGCCCGCCGTCGTGAACGTGAAGAACAGCTTAGGGCTTGGGATGCGTGGCCGGAGCCATGCGACCTTCTCGCAGGTGAGACTTCGGTCGTATGGCAGTTGCCCGCCGGCGTGAATGCACAGCCTCCGCCGGGGAAGTACGCCGACCACCGAGTGGAAGGCTATTGTAACTTAGGCTGCGAGACGCGCAAGGCCGATCGCTCGCCAGTGTGCCAAGGAAGGTGCTATCGCCCGGTCATCCGCACGCGATCGGGGACAGGACATGGCCCGAAGACCTTTCGGCCACACAACGGAAATTCTGAACTTGAACCAACCAAGCCCAGCAGTCCGCAGTGGGAAACTCAGGAAATGAAGAGGTTTCTGTTAGACCGACCCTCCCAGCCTCGAGGAATCCAAAGCGACCGGGCAGTGCAGGCAACCTCAGGAGCAGGGTTGCCCCGCCCAAGCAGCCGCACTTTCGCAAGTCGCGGCGCCAGAAACAACAAACAAGCACACATACACACATACAACTGGTTCGTGGGAGTTCGCAAGATCAAGTGAGACCACAGAAGCCTTCGATTTGACTCCGATCTATGCAGAACAACAGACCTTACACTGCATCACGAAGCATTTCGGAGTCGGGTTGGGGGTGGAGAGCCAGCGCGGGAGGAACCTGGACCTAGACCGGATTACTCTTCCCAGGCGACCCTCCCCGGACCACTTTTGTGGCCCATGCGATCGCGCACGTACAGCAGGGAGGCGCTGACGCATGGGTCGCCAAGTTTTCCCACATGGTGGACGGAGGTCGTGTATCGATCACCGCCCAGCCTCGCATTTTGCGCCGCCCTCGCCGCCAAAAAGGAGAGACCGAGTGTTTGCGACGAGCCCTCTCCCCCCCCTTAACCTCAGGAGTGAGCGAGTGCTGCTTCTCCTCTCGCGCATTAGGTCTTTTCTTCTCTGACTCTCTTTCTCGCGGAAGCCGTCTGCCAGGAGTGCCTCCTCTGACGCGTTAGGTCTCTTCTCGCTCTGGCTCTCTCCCTCGAGTGTTTGCCAGTGCTTGCGCTGTTGTGCACTTGCAGTTTCTTGTTGCACATGCTGTCACACTTGCATGTTCACTTCGTGTCTCGCTCGCCTCGCCGCTCGACCGCTGGTCGCTTCGGGTGGTGGTGCCCCCCCCCCCCCCTCGCTCACCTCGGGGTCGTGCTCGCTTCGCTTCGCTCCGCCTCGTCGTTCCGAGTGCATGTTTCTTCCCCCGCCCCGACCCGCCGCAACTTGCACCTGTCAGGTACCAGCAGTACATGTACTTGGAGCAGTTCGCCCGCGGCACGCAGCCGCTCACATCCAGGCTCAGGTTGTCTCGAGTTTTGTAAGTCCCAGCTAGCGCGCGCACGCCACGCCATGTCTGCTTTCGACTACCACTCTTTCGTGGATTTCATGCAAGCTGCGGTTTCGGCGGGTTTGTCGCCCCACACCATCGACAAGATGAGCGAGCTGGGATTTGTGAGCATACACGACGCAGCGCTCCGAGCAAGCACCGTCGATCACCGCCTCGCCAGCGAGATCGAAGTCATGTTGGTCATGTCAGGTTACAAAGACCACATGGAGGCGAGCAAAGGGATAGCTCCGCCCCGAGGTCCCGCGCCACGGTTCGACCAACCCACGCCGAGGACCTCAGCCGGTGGACTGTTGAGCAAAGCCTTGGCTGCAGCCGACCCGCGCAACGCAGAGGAGGCGCTGCAGGACTTTCGGGACAACATCTACGCTCGCTCGGCACGAGCCCCCAATGACGCCCGCTGGGTCACCTGGTGCAAGATCTGCGCGGCATGGCAGATAAGCCCGGTGCCGCTGACCACCGACACCATCGAGAAGGTCGGCACCAGCTTTCGTAGTGGGGGCTACAGGAGTTCGGCACAGTACTTCTCCAGGGCTCGCAAGGAGCACATACAGGTCACGGGCCAGCCGGTGCCTACACCAGTGGAGCTGGCGATCCGAGACGCTATCAGATCCATCGAGCGGGGTATGGGCACCACCGCCCCTAAGGACGCCTTTCGCCTCCACGACCTCGACGTCAGCATAGACCTGCTCGAGGAGGGGCTGCGTTTTCACCATGCCATGGTCGTGCTGGGGTCCTGGTTTCTCTGCCGCGAGATCGAGCTCTCCGCGCTTCGCGTCAAGCACATGACAGTGGACCCCGAGTGCAAGCAGGTGTGCCTGACCCTCTCCGCCAGCAAGACCGACACGGTCGGATCCATGGTACAGCGAAGACACTCCTGCTACTGCGGCACCATCCCGGAGACCATCTGCCCGTACCACGCGGCGCTCCGCATCGCCGATGCATGCGCGTCCGACCCCGAAGCCTTCATCTTCGCGGCCGACACGGGCGAGCCCATGACGAAGACACAAATGATCGAGGCCATCCACTCGGTCCTCGCAGCAGCCGACGTGCCGCTTACCAGAGCTGGTGCTCCCCTCGAGCCCGAGGTGAACCGCTTCGGAGGACATTGTCTTCGAGTATCGGGCGCTCAACATTTGTGCCGAATGAGAATTCCGGTCAGCACGATCATGCTGCTTGGACGGTGGGGGAGTCGGGCGATCGAACGCTACGTCCAGGACACCGAATTGGAGGACGCTTTCTACGGCATCAGATCGCAGAACCTACCCGCATCTCCGCACACCCCCGCCGCTCTCAAGGACCAGGAGCACGACTCGCCCCCGTGGACCTTGGTGCACAATGTCGAGGAGCACGAACTCGCGTCCTCGAGCCGACCAGCTAAGAAGGCACGATCCTCACAGGCGTCGCACGAGGACAAGGAGGCAGTTGCCGCGATGATCGGCTCTTTGGACAGCATCGCCGCTCGCCTCGAATCCATTCAGGAGCGGCCCGATTTGGTGTGCAAGCGCAAGGCACACATGAGGGACCCCGAGGAGTCCTCGCGACCGCCAGCGAAATGGCGCGCTCGCTGCGGCTGGCCGTACGGGTACTCCAACTTCACCCGGGCACATGACGATGGTTCTCAGAACTTGTGCCTCAAGTGCTTCCCCGAGGCAGGGGCAGAAAGTCGCAAGAAGGCGGCCGGACAGCAGCCGTCCGACACGGAGTCCACTGACAGCTACGACTCCTCTTCTAGCTGAGCGATCGAACCCGCAGCCTCGCTGCGCCCCGCCCGAGAAAAGAGACCGAGAGCCTTGAGAGAGACGTGCCACGGCATCGACTACAGTTATCGCACCGCCCCGCTGCAGTTTTTCTTTTTAAGCATAGCCCCAGCTCTCGCGCACAGGTTGTCATGGATACCGGCCTGCGAGCACTTCTCCTGGACGCTGGCGCGTCAGATGACCTGATCGCCTACGTCGCGACCAAAGGCATCCTCTCCACCGCGATCTTCGCCGAGATGGGCGAGGACGTGAAGGAGTTCGATCAAGCTATGGTACAGCCGCTCGCCTCGCCATTCAAGCTCCAGGACGGCAAGGTGTTTGAAGTGAGTGACGCCGAGCTGCCAGTGGCTCGCGCAAGACTGC